AAAAATTTAAAAAAAAAAAAAAAAAAAAAAAAAAAAATATATATATATATATATATATATTCTCATTGAACAGACACATCTGTTCAGTGAGAATCTTAAAATTGTTACTTTGTCATGTACATTGGCCACAAGGGGGCATTGCTTCCCTCTACTAAACTGTTGATCTATCAAGTTACATTTGCCTGGTGGTAATTCCTTGGATTTTACTATTTTGATGGGACGTTTTAATACACATATCATTCAGAAATCAAATCAAAGGACTAAATGGGAGCTTAGTTAGTCAAGGAACCTGATTCTGAAAACATAAAAACCATATATAGGAGTAGAATGAACAAGAATAACTCCTAGCAGCAAAACGGGGAAAGTAAGAATATGGTGTAGTATGACAGATTTGAGTGAAGTGTAATATTTGCAGTTCTGGCCAGGAAGAGTTTATACATCTTAACAAAAATCAAATGTAATGAGGTTTTTAGTAACAGTTATTGTGTGTAATGTATGTGTGTTCACATGCCTGATCACTACAGCACATTTACTGTGCATGTGCACAGTCCCTTGATAGCAAATCCGAGATGTGATAAATAATAATCGACTGTAAAAATGACATAAATCCACCAAAACCAAATATTATAATTTCAATATTTACTGGCACAACTGCTGTTGACCAAGCATGGGCTGTGTGTTTGTCTGTACAAGTTATGAAATGTTCACCGTCTTGCATGGCCTCTTCAAACAAAATAACTGGTGTGCTCTGTTGTAACAAAAAGAAACAAATATGGCACTTTGTGCAATAACTCTGCAGGACTGGTTCCACCAGAAACCTGTGATTTCCCAGAAATCATACGGCAGTGTTTACATCAAGGAAATCAATCAGCACCTGTGCTTTTATTCACCAAATGAGTGATAACTATTCTGGATTCCTGCACTTAAAATGTAATGTAATTTAACCAGGCAGGTTTTCAAAGCCAACAGCAATTACATCAAACTAGAACTGACTGGTTTCATTTTGCGGTCACTAAAGAATTGAATGTGCAACCAAACACTCAAGTTTAACTGAAATACTTTGTGGTACATTGTAAGCATTTTCATTTGACAAGCTGGATTGCTTTAGGCTGTGTGTATCTGTTGCAGTGATTGCATCTTGTCAATGGTTGGAAGGACACCTTGGGGTTTTCCCAGAGCTGAGAATGTTACATCACGTCATTTGCATAAACATCACAAAGTATTTGTCTATATAAATAAACTTCCAGCTAAATGTTTACAGACAAGGTGATTAACTCAAACATTAAAAACATATCGGATCAGTTTCACCCTCAGCGTTTTAAACCTGTCAAAGGGATCAAACATATCTTGGGCCCGCAGCTTTTCACGTTTAAATTGCCATTGCAAAACTTCAGTGGATCCTGGTGATTGTGCTTGGTTTTCACGCACCTTGCTGAAACATATGCAAATGGTTTCTTGGACTTAAAAGTCTGTTTTTCTTAGATGAGAGAGACAGAAAGTCTCAATTAATCTGTCTAATTTTAGCTCTGTTTTGATAGCTAATGTTTTGGAAAAACTCTGGAAATGTAGAACCAATTAAATGTATCACCTAACACAAAAGGATTTCTTTATGTAGGAGATGAACACTGAGAATGCCTCTTTATTTGATCTGACCCAGATGAGTCATGTTGAGAACAAATCTGCATTATTTAAAAACCAGTAAGATGCCGTCTTTCGATAAGGTTACCTGATGCCCTCTGGTGGATAATATTATGGATGTTTTTAATATAACTGTGTTTT